CTGGTGCTTCCTTCTCAACCACTGCGACTGCAGCTTGATAAGCAGCACCAACTATATTCCCAGGCTTCAATGCAGCTATTGTGGCATCATAAGCTTTGAGCAGAACCTCATAAGCCTTGCTCTGTGTTGCGTTGGCATCTATTAGAAATGTCCTGGCCACATTTGAGCAATAATTGTTATAGCGAGAGCCAATGGCACAAATTATTACACTAGTAGAATCATAGTAAAGTTTTTCATCGTTGCTTGAGGCACTGGGCTTGAGATCAAACTGACCCCCACTCTGAAAAATTGGAGGATAGCATATGTCTACATTCTCAGCCTTCAGCTTTACCTTCACCTTTAGTGGGTCAAGTATGACTTTCTCTGTATCCTCCATTAGAGTAGAATGAGAAACCTTGTTCTCTTCATCAATAGTTTTCTCAAGCTTGGGAACAACGAAATTCTTCATGACAGATGAAGTCAAATATGCAGCCTTTCGAACACAGGTGAGTTCAGTAGCATCTTTGACAGCAAACAGTTCTGAGAACCCATTTGTCACATCACTGAGTTGGAGGGTGGAGCCATTTAATTTCTCAGACCATGTCTCCAGAAGCTTCCCTTCAGGTATCTCTTTTGCAATATATCCAGCAACAGGACTCTCTGATTTGGATTGATCACGAACAGAACGAAGTATTTCTTCCATTGCAGAGGTTCCATCATCATTCCTTGCCTTGACATGCAGTATAACATCGGCACCAACAGCGTCTTTGGCTGATTTTTTAACAGTTTCTAGAAGGTTTGCCTTCTTCTGACTGCAAAGGAAATGGATCTGCTTATTCATGAAAACCATAATCGTCTCTGGAAATTCATATCCAAACAACCAGACGTTCAATGCTGAAGATTTAAGGTATCTCAGGTCTTCTGATGTTGGAGGTGTGGCAATAGCAATAACATCGCTCGAAACCCACAGGTCAGCTTTATTATCTTTCCAATGAGTATAAAATGCATTGAGACGTTTGCTAAAGTTCTCAAGATTGATAGTGTAGGCTCCTGCAGCTCCAGATGCTGCAGATTTTGAGCTCCCATTTTGGCGATCGGCCATGCTATCTGAAATAAATAATTTAGGTTTGAAATCCATCAACCAAAACATGCAAAAAAGTCATTGTCAGATAATATGTTCAACTATGAAGGATGGTTGACATATATAACAGACCGAAAAAGCAAGACTTTCCTCTAATAAGAAAATAGATGAGCTAATATTATATAAATTCTAGATTCAAAAAGCAAAGCATAAGTGGCAACTAGTTTAGTAGAAGAAGAGCAACATAAAAAAAAGTAATTCAGATATATGGAATGGTTGGTAAAATCTACACATCAAACAATATGGGAAATGTCCCAACTCACAAAGAATAAGTATACTTATATGCAAAAACACAATGATCTGTTAAACTAAAAACTTAAGTACTAAAAAGTAAACATTCCGTTGGCCCTAACTGTCATGGTCAACAAAATATCAAACCAACGGATCGTGCTTCAAATTGTCCATGACTCCATCTACACTTTTCTACTTCAGCTTCATGAAAAACCCATGTTGCTCCTTGTTTTTCCCTACTTTCCTACTTGGCAAGTTAAAACGATCAACTAACATCTACAAAGGTGGATCCACCCTAAGGAAAGTGGAGTCATGTGACACCACTTTCCTCTAAGTGCCCACCCAACCCCACTTAATAAATAGTAGCCACCGGTAAAAAATTAGTTGCAATAGATAATTTGTAAATAGTGGTAATAATTGATAAATAATGTCCAGTGTTGTAAAAAAACGGGAAATAGCGGCGCTTTTCGCGGTCGCGGGGGTCAACCGCGCCACAAATACTGATTGTGGGTAAATCCGCGTTTTACTTGTAATAGTACGAAATAGCTCTGTTTAGCGCTTTTAAGCGCTAAACAGCACTATTTTAGTTGTTAATCCATCTACCCAAACCTGACCCAAACACAACCAGAACCCGTAACTAAAAACCCATTCCCTTTCTCTCGCCTCTCTCTCTCTCTCTT